CCCCCGGGGCGCGAAGGGGGCCCACTTTTCCAAGTGGATGTACGAGTAAGAGGAAAAAAAAAAAAAAAAAAAAACAAACCCTGGGACTAAAAACCTCAAACTGTTGACGGTCGTTTTCTGCAGTTTATTACATTCATCATTCTGGAGACATTTAAAGACCCCCGACACCGACGTTTGATGTACCGGGGTATCTGCACCATCCCCGACATCCTCTCCTATAGCGCCCCGGTGACCGAGGATGAACTGGAAGGTGAGATGATACCCCGCTCGTGTGTTCACCTCTGCTGGTGTTCCAAAGTGTCCCCCGGAGGGGCATAGAAGCTGCTGCGTGTGGTCCGCAGTCGGCTCCGTAGCGGCGGAGCTCATTCAAACCGACGCGCGGTCAGCACCTTGGACAGCGCTCAGCGACATCAAGGTTATTACGCGCAGCGGGGAAGACGAAGAATTAGTTCGTTTTTTTAAACATTTTGTTTTGAAAGGTTCCATGTTTGTTTAACATACTGTATTTGATAAGATAGGTTTGCAGAAATACTCAAGAAGAGATTTTATATTTTTTTTGTTTGGAAAAATACGTTTATAGGAGGTGGAGAGGGTGAGGGAGAGGGGGACACAGGCATTGAAGGTTCTGTATTGTCCTGTGTTTTCTTAGCCCATATGTTGCATCAGAAAGTAGAATATTGGCTTTGACAAGAATCACAAACTTATAGTTTTTGCTTAAAAATATTATTTTGTTAGAAACCAAGTTTGTTCCCTAGACGACAGCACAAAACTAGATTTGTTTTGGCAAGTTTTTTTCCTGCACCCGGAGCATATACTGACCCCTGCAGCTCACTGTTATGTGAACCTGCGACATGTGCACATTAGCATGCAGCTGCCTCTCGGGGCATCATTCAAACCTCAAAGCACTAACACGTGATTCTTGTGACATTGTCATGTTTTTGAGGTCGGTGAAGCCGGAGTGGATACATTTTCAAGACATTTCTTAATCTTATATTTGCACTCATGACGATGATATCAATACTCGTCACCGCCACCAAGAGTCTTATTGTATTTTCGACCAGGCATAGGGAGTGTGCGGATTACAGACAAGTCCGGTCTTGCGTTGAGACAGTCGGTTGGTGGAGAGGAAATTAACTGTTAATTAATTGTGGAGTTAAACTCTACACAGCTTCACAAGTAGCTATACTTTCCTGATACAGAATTATTGCTATTTGGGTCAAATTGGAAGCGTAGCGGAAGTGAATAAGGCAACATGTCAACATGTCAGTGCCAGTGTGATCAGCTCAAGACGTCACACCCACGGGGGATGGGGTTGCATCAGTCTTTTCGATTTGTTGCCAAACATGATATTACGGCATGAAGACATTGGCATATTTTAACCGAGGAAAAACATGACTGTTTTTTGTGTCAGACATTTCTGTCACCGCTGTTGGAAGATTTTGCATATTTAGAGCCGGAGAGTAAGGTTTGCCTTTCAAATTCCCAATTTTAATTTACATCCAGCTTCGGGTGCAATAAAAAGAAAACTTTTCATTTATTGATTTTAATTAGTCAAAACGAGTTGTGCTCTCTCTCTGCTGTAGGGGGCAGAGTGAGCCACCTGGGCGTCGCAATCTCCGTGTTTATTGTTTATTATTTTATTGTTGGTCTGATGAGATGGGAGAGCAGAGTAAGTCAACTGCAGTGATGGGTGCACTGTCGACCAACCTAGCGAGAGCCAGGGCCTCCAGGTTGTGAAGAGGTTAATATGGCAGTCTATTGACTTGGGTCATGAAGGTTTGTGACTTTTAAAATATAGAAAAAAACTTAGGGAAACACTGCATTAGAACACCGACGTCAAATTCAATCATGCAAAGGGGCCGAAATTTTGAGAACAGTCTAGGTCTAAGTTCTAGGCCAAACAGGGTTTCCACTTACTGAACTGTAAAATGTGTTGTTTATGATAAAGGTCACAAAATCGTAAATGAACGCTTGATTAGAAGAAGTGGGCCACATAAAATTATACCACGGGCCAGATTCAGCCCTTCAGGCCTTGAGTTTGCCATAGACAAACCATCACTGGTATAACATGTGAGGACCAGAATCTTCTTCCTTTACTGACATGTGTTGCGTCAATTTTTTATTAGTAGTAGTAGTAGAAGTAGTAGTAGTAGTACTAGTATAAGTAATAAAAAAGTAAATAATAGTATTCCAGTAATATTGGACTTGGTGGATATGTCTGAAAATAGAGAAAAGAGAGCGACTCAGAGCAGTTACAGAAGATCTGTGTCTTTCTTCAATTCCTGTGAGTCTGATATTCAACTAAACAGAAGGCAATCAAAATGATGAACTT